CTTTAAATTCAACATTGCAATTGATAGAGCTGGTAAATCAAATTAATTAAGGTCGAACAAGTGGATAAGATGGAAGATGATGTGTTCCTGCGTTGCATCGAGTCTAATATGCTCTCAGATCTTACTTTGCAAGTAAGTGGCATTCACTGTAGCAAGTTTTTATCTGAATGTATTCCTTTTCAGGGTATTGGATCCATTTCCAAAGTTTATATGCATAAGCCTACAACGGACGACAAAAAGCGTGTTGTGATCACACCGGAGGGCGGTTTCAAAGCAATTTCCGAATGGCTTCTTGAAACCGACGGAACTGCACTTCTAAGGGTATGCGTTTCATATTTAGTTTAGTACGGTTCTAGCTGTATGTAGATCAATTCAAAATTATGAAGAAATATCATAGTGTTCGCTTATCAATTGTAGTCCACCTTGCGCTGTTGTTCAGCTATATATTGGGTGGTGCATAGCGCATTTTCATCATGTTGATAGGATTCTATTGTACAGATTTGCTTATTGTATTCGCTCATTGCCAAAAACCGCCTCATGTATAAGCTGCCACGTCTGCGTTTACCTCAACAGTGATATCATTAGCGGAGGATTACAGCTGTGTTCATTCTTTCAGGATACCTATTGTTTCCAGGTCTTGTCGGAGCAACACATTGATCCTGTACGTACTACATCAAACGATATATGCGAAATCTTTGAGGTTTGTCCTTTCCATATTTACAGTTACGAGATCTTATTGAATCTTATAAACAGGTGCTGGGAATCGAAGCTGTGCGTAAGGCAATTGAGCGTGAGATGAATAATGTCATTTCTTTTGACGGCTCTTATGTCAACTATCGGCATCTTGCTCTTCTTTGTGATGTGATGACGGCTAAAGGTATATCTCATTGGTTTTGCTTGAATTCATATTGACTGTACTGTTTTAGGTCACCTTATGGCTATCACTCGTCACGGAATAAATAGGCAGGAGGTCGGAGCTCTTATGCGTTGTTCGTTTGAAGAGACCGTTGATATTCTCATGGAGGCTGCTGTACACGCTGAAGTGGATCCTGTTAAAGGTGGAGAAAAATTTTCACAAAAAATTCGCATACTCATTATTTCTTGTTTGTTTCTTCGACTTTAAATGTACATATCGTAGTAGCGATATTGTTTACATCTTAGGTGTTTCCGAGAACATCATGCTTGGGCAACTTGCAAAAGCAGGAACCGGTGCGTTTGACCTTGTCCTGGATGCAGAGAAATGCAAGTACGGCATCGAGGTAAATATGATTCCACATTTTGTCCGTACGCTTCGTTCAGCTGTGCGTTATAAGCTTATTTCCGTTCAGGTTTCCACAATGATGGGCATGTATGGAGGAGTAGGACAGTTTGGAGCTGCCCATAGTCCGGCAAGCTCTTCGATGTCGCCAATTCAAACACC